TGACAATGCTGGATATTGGACATCACCTCCAAAAATAGTAGATTCTGCACGCCAGTTGACAATCTCTTGTTCCAAAAAATAGTACCTGATTGCAAAACTAGGTGGAACTCTACTTACTTAATGCTTCATAGTGCTTTATACTGTAGGGATGTCTTTCCCATACTAAAGCAACGTGAATCACAATATAAATGTTTGCCTAGTGATGTAGATTGGAATTTGGCAAAAGAGATATGTGAAAGGTTAGAAGTGTTTTTTGAAGTGATTGAAATATTTTCTACGACTAAATATCCAACATCCAATCTTTATTTTTCTACTTTTTGTGGGATAAAGCTGTTAATTTACGAATGGATGAAATCTCCTTATCATGAAATAAAAATGAACGTTTAAAGTATGATTGACAAGTTCGAAAAATATTGGAGCGAGATTCCTGGAATTTTGGCCGTAGCTAGAGTGTTGGATCCACGATCTAAAATGAAGTTGGTTGAATATTATTTTCCAATGATTTATGGAAATGAAGTTTCGGATCTTGAGATTAAAAATGTTAAATTTTTTTGTCACAAACTGCTAAATGAGTACAAAACGAGACACGGATCATTTAGAAATGTGACTTAGTCTTCAAACCAAATTGAGATACCTACTAATGCAAGTAAAAAAGATCGGTTGGCACAATTTTATTTATTTGTTTCTAATACCACTAGTACTGATAGTATGAAATCAGAGCTTGATATTTTCTTGGATGAGCCTCTATTGCCTAGAACGAATGATTTTGATATATTAGCATGGTGGAATGCAAGTTCAATAAAATATCATACTTCACAAAAAGTTACAAGAGATATTTTAGCCATCCCATTATTAATGATTTTGATATATTAGCATGTTGGAATGCATGTTCAATAAAATATCATACTTCACAAAATGTATCAAGAGATATTTTTGCCATCCCATTATATATTGTAGCGTCAGAATCTGCATTCAGGACCAGTGGTAGATTTATTAGTCCACACAGAAATAGACTTCACCATAAAACTTTGGAGGCTTTGATGTTTGCTCGAGATTGGTTATGGGCTGACATTCATGGTTCGAGAAATACAATTATCTATATTTCTGATAATTGTTATTTTCTGATAATTCGTCACCAACATCATACTCTTGATGCTATACAAAGTTAACTGACACAGATATTGAAAAGGAGGTAAATTTATTTTTCTTTAAGTAGATTTGAATAATAAGTAATTTGTCTAACTAATAAACATTTTTACAGTCATCAATTTTTAAAGATCCTGACAGCACTTGAAGATCTACAACACGAAGTATTGCATTATGTGTGCATCTCCTAGTTTAGCCGTTTGTAAACTGGCCATTAAAGTTTCTCGAGCTCTGTGTTTACTTTTGAGTA